GAGTTGGCCAAAGGAGAGAGAAGAAAAGAAGGAGGAAAGGCAGGTTTGCGGGTTATCTATAGTGTGACGTAGTGAGTGAGTTGGAGGAGGAGAGGTGGGGGGGGGGAGGGCGAGCTGCTCTTCTCATTTCACTTGTCAATATTCTTCGCGTATTAATTAGGCCGCGGAGTTTTCCTCGACGCTCGGCTTATTAATTAACCACCATCGTTGTATTGGTGTAACTGTAGCCATCGTTGCCACGTCCTACAAATATTTAATTTCAGACCTGTGTGGGGAGATGGCGAGAGAGGTGGGATTGGAGACGAAATAACACAAAGAAGCAGTGGTTCTGTTTTCGCGTTTTTATTTCATCGTATACTGCTCGCATTGGGTTACGCGTATAAATGAAAATGAATCAAGTGATAATTGTCGGTGTGGATTGTGGCGCGAAAGGAAGACCCTCGACGAATCTTCGTCGTTATAGACATTAAAGTACGCGATACTTCTCGATATTAATGTGAGGTGCAGTGACAGGGATAGAAATAAAAGTTAACTGCAGAGAAATTTGGCAGCCCGTCAATGAAACTCTGCCCGATCGAAGCTCAATATGCTCGGAAAGAGGGGGGGGGGGCTAGAGAAAGGAATTGAATCGTCATTCCGCGATACGGTGTTTGGGGCGCGAATACGCGCGACCATTCGTATTCTCAACGGAGAAATTAGCAATGTAATTATGGATCTGTCAGGAGCTAATTAAATTAATAACAAGAAATCTCCAATCCAATTGGATTCGTCCTTTGCACGCGTTTGTTATGCTCCTCGCTATCATCGATTCGTCTTGGCGCTTTCTGTGCTCTTTCGCCAGCAGAGAGAAGAAAGGGACGAGTGAGAGAGAAGGACATAGAGAGAGAGAGAGAATGATAGAGAGTTGGGAGGGCGGGAGGGGGGTATTGGTTGATCGCGATCCCTCTTGGTTGCATTATCCCGCGGCACGCCAAGTGCGAGACAATGACTTACAAACGAGTACCGTAGAAAGGCGGGGGGCGCGCACCTCTAAAGAAGGTAAATAGCGCTGTTTGCTTATCATTTTCCATCGATTGCCCCGAGATCGTTCCATACATCTGTCAATTAGGCGAGATCCCAGCCACCGATAAATCACACGACCACGGTGGTGGCGGTGGCGGTGGTGATGGCGGTGGTGGTGACTAGCAGTTCGATCTCTGATTTTGCCGAGGCAAAGGAAAGACACGGAGGAGGATAGATTGAAAAATGCTCGAAGAAGAAGAAGAAGAAACCCACGACACAGCGAATAACCGCTGCGCGGCCCTTACGATTGACCGAATGAATTTTTTCGTTTTGCTTTTGTCTTTTTTTTATTTTTTTTTTTTATAGCCAAGGTGCCGCTACACCATTCGATCTTTCCCCGTTTAATAAGTTGGGTCATCCTCGTCTTCGTCGTCGTCGTCGTCGTCGTCGTCGTTGTCGTTGTTGTTGTTAGTGCGAGCGCTGAGGACTCATTCTCTCATTACCGTCGTTCAGCCGCTCGTCCTCCCACTAAATATCCCTCCTCGTCATCTTATTTTTAATTAGCAACGTTCGTATATCGCGGTACTTGCAATTATCATGACCAACTATCGCGCAATTAAAAGCTGATAAAGCCGACGAATGACGGAGCGAGCGAGATAAAATGAAAAAGGAAATGCGTTCAGCAATGGGCTCGCGAGGGTGGTGGCGCCGTGAGGATTATCGGTGCCCCCTCATTACCGGGTATAATTCGCGCGCCGACGAAAAGGAGCGACATCGCCGTCACCGCGTTTGACTAATTAGAGCAATCGTCAGCGCATATAATTGTCCCTTGTCCGCGACGTCTTACTCGCCGCTAATTGACGGGGGGCGATCACGAACAGAAGTCGGACAACGCGCGTGGGCGTCCCTGCCACCGTATACGCAGCTAATTGGTGCATAAACATCGGGTTTTATATGCGGGATCCGAGAAAGAGAGAGAGAGAGAGAGAGAGAGAGAGCGTGAGAGTGAGAGTGAGAGACGGGAGATTGGCGGATTGTTGGCGGAAGGTGGGGGGCGAACGTCCGCTGATGTTGCGCGCGATCCCACTACAAATATATCCTACAAAGATACGTGCGGACCTCGCCGTGTAACTTGTGGAGTTTGGACTGTTGCACTGAACGGCCAATCGGTTATGAAAAATCGCCGGTTGAAGGATCAGGATCCCGCATCCCTGTCCAGCAAAATTACTTTTTTTTTCATCTCTTTTCTTGTTGTTGTTGTTGTTGTTTTTGTTGTTGTATTTATGAAAGATAAAAAGTTCATCAGCTCCGCGAACATACAGGGTGGCGAACGAAATGGAAATATAATTGGTAGCAAATTTGCAATTTATAATACATTATTCCCGTACGAATGATATTGGGATTATATGCTTTTTCATTAATAGTAATTGTTCATTAGTAATAGCAGTGCGCGCCGATCGTTTCCTTATTAAAATTAATGATTTTCCGCTTCTCTCGTCGGCGTCGCTCCCGCTCCCGCCCCGTGAGCGTATAATAACAACGCGGCACGCGTAATTGATTCGTATCGGCGGTAAGATGTCCAGGGACGTAGGAGGTTAATTATTTATCGAGAAAAGCACGCAAAAACGACACAACAGTTGCCCTAAATAATTATTACGAAGTTTCGAATGACGCAACAACGGCAATAGACTCGCGCGAACTTAGCCCCCGCGGCATCGCGGGTCGGCTCACTGTCGGGCACAAACGGTTGTACCAACAATCTTAACGGGGCCGCCGCACGAGCCCAAATGGCCGAACAATAGCAGGATCGATGGTCGATCGAGCGACCCGTTTTCCCGAAGCAGGCGTGCGAAAGGGGAGACGTAATTATTTTCGTAGGCCCGTTATTACTACGGTGCTCATGTATAGAAACGGCATCGCGGTAGGAGCATTCGCAAACTGTTAGGCGATTAAAGGAGCGGCGGCGACGGCGGTGTCGAGGGGCGTTGAGGAGCGAGCGAGCTCTCGGATTTATCTGGCTAAGCTGCCAATTAAAAGGTGCACTTACAACACCTTATTATATCGACGTGCTCGTTTAGCCGGGAGGCTGTAGCGCACGCGGATAGCGCAAATGGAGAAAGGTTAGAGCGGCCGTTGGTTGGTCGTCGATGATGGAGAGGAAGGGGTTAGGCGAACCGGTGCGCGGAAAAGTGTAGGTGAGGTGACGGGTGGCACTGACGGGGTCGGGGTGAGGTTTTGGTGGAGGTAGGGGACGCAATGGGGCCCCGGGGGAGGGGGGGGGGTATTATGGATGGTAGCGCTGGAGATGGGAAATCGTGAGCGGAGATACCGCGAGGGCTTACTCGAAGCTCATTTTATTAGGGAGCGCGAGGAGCGCCCGGCGCGGGATTTAATTGGAAACAGTTGGTTGGTAGTATTTATCCGCCGGGCCCGAGCCACTTTTACACAATGCCCGTCCTGTTTGGAAATCCTTGTCGGCGCGCTCTCGCGCCCGCCCGAGGGACGCTCAAAATCACTTTGGCGCTCGACTCGCGATTTTCGAGGAGACGCGCATTGGCTTGTGGGAACGCGAGCGCCGTCACGGAATTAAGGTGAAATATCGCTCGGGACGTTGGTAACGAGGCGGGGAGCTGGCCGTAACGAAGTGCTCGCGCTGGCGCATCGAGCGGACTCGCTATTTTAATTTAGTGACGATTCACCGAACGTCCGCTCGCTTTATGTCCCTTGTCTCTGCGCATAAGGAGATTTTAATCTGCGCTGGGGTTTAAGGCCGCTATTTAAACTCATTTGGAAAATAAATATATGCGCGCGCCAGCTGACGCTACTCCCATAATGATCGCGCGCACATTTGCATTCCAACGTGAAGTGGCAAACTTGTAAAAAACGCATGCACCGCGGATGAAAAATAAAGCGTGCAGCAGGCCTTTGATGTTTTAAGTTTTTCCTTTTATCGTCAATTCTCCCTCCAATTACCACCCGCCACACGCGCACGTGCACACGCATCAATACCACCAGGCCGTCACACGTTTTATTCGAAAATAAATACTTCTCTCGCGGAAACTCCTTATCTAGTTAATGCGCTTAATAATCCTGGTGCATTTAATCAGAACTGCAGGGGGGGGGGGGTTTATCGGCTATCGTTTAATGCCGTCTGTAACGAACTACACCGCGTTCACTTTCGGATCACATTTTATAATTGTGGCCGACCACGATCACACCCCCCCCACCCCTCGAAGCTCGCTCTCTTTCTCTCTCTCTCTCTCACTCTCTCTCTCTCTCTCTCTCTCTCTCTCTCTTTCTCTCTCTCTTTTTCTTGCCACCACCACAACTACCGAATCTCACCAGACACTACGGTATACGACACGCGTATCGCAACGCTTTCACCCAAAATAATTGGACTTGGGAGACGAGTGGGACTTCGATGATACGCAGACACTCCAAAAGAATATCTCCATCTTAGCTCACGAATTCCGGATGCTCGGGATTAATCGAGGAAGTATTTTTGAGGCGCACTGACGCCGCGGCAAGACCTCCTGCCTCCGCGTAATTAAATAACTTTATCGTTCTATCTTAAATTAGAGGATTCTCATTTGGCATCATATATTATTCAGCAAGGAAATTGAAATTACAACGTATCGATTGACAATTTGGATAATCGAATCTCCTGCATCTTTAATATCCGCTTCCATGATTAATCATATCGCAAAGTGCTTGGGCGGCCAAAGATAGCTTAACCCCACCACTGGACGCCCAAGCCCAGCGGGCTAATAAATATAACGTAGGGCCCCCGTTACGTCACCGCACCACACTCCTCACCTCCACAGCGCCTTGCAAAAGTTTGTTAATTAAGGTGACATCGAGCACCCCCGCCCCCCCCCGGACCCGACCCGACCCATCTCGTTGCCCCCGACCACTTCGATTAGCCCCGGCGACATATGCCATCGCCGTTAAACAAGCGCGCACGCTAATCACGGACTCGCCTCTGTTTTTTGTTTCAGGATGTTCGGCAGCTCAGGTGCCTGCGCAGCTTGTGGCCAAACGATACCCGCGACCGAACTCGTCACGAGGGCGAGCGGCTCTGTCTTTCACACCAAGTGCTTTACCTGCACCAAGTGCGGCACGCAGCTCACGCAAGGCGACAGGTGAGTTACGCACGAGCCCGGTCGATCGGCACCCTCGCCGAGACCCCAACCCGCTACTCATGTCGTATCTGTCCTCCTCACCGCCTCACCGCCTCACCGCCAACAGATGTCCGAGTTTTGTCGGAGCTGTTGTGCACTGCCACCATAAATATACATTTCCTCCTTCATCTCCCCTCCCCTCTCTCGACCCCTCCCCACTCCACCCCAATTCGCCAATCGAACCGACGACGACGACGACAACGACAACGAATATATCACGAATGGCCGCGTTCGGCAATTATCCAACCCTGCACTTCATGATTATTAATACATGCGGACCGAATGATTCGGTCAAAGCGCCTTTCGCCTATCGACTAATACATGAATTCACTCGAGGATATATAAAGTGGCGCTCCAGTCGCGCTCAACGATTAAAACTCTTAATCATTAATAATTCGACTAAGCCCGAATTTCTGACAACGAGCGATCCCATGCCCCGCCTCACCATCACCATAATCATTTAGTCCGTTCATTCCCATTAAGCGACAGGTGCTTCACCTGAGGAAATACAATGGGTCACTGATCGAGGCATGGGGACGGCGACGAGTCGAGGAGCAATGACCAAGAGTCGACTTAACGCTCAAAATTTCCTTATCCAATCTTTCAGGTACTATTTGCTGTCGGGTGCGGCCGTCTGCGAGACGGACTTCCACAAGATGGTAAAGTCGTCGTCGGTGGCGGCAGCGGCGGCAGCCGCGGCGACGGGCAACGGCGGCATGCCGACCAGGAAAGGCAAGGTAGGCCGGCCTCGAAGGCCCCGCGACTGAGGCGGCAACCCGGTTGGCCGCCCCAAGAAGGTCCCCACGGCGCCCACCGTCCCCGTCGTCGTCCCGGCACTCCAGCCGCAAATCGACCTCGTGGATGTGGCTGTCGGTGGTGAGACCTACTCGCCGCCGCCACCGGGTCATTCACACTACCAGCAGCAGCAGCAGCAGCAACAGCAACAGCAACAACAGCAACAGTCCTCGCCCCATCAGCAGGCGCCTCCACATCATCATCAGTCGGTGATACCGATGATGCCCCTGGTCCTTGCATCGGGTCAACAACAACAGCAGCAGCAACAGCAGCAACAGCAACAGCAGCAGCAGCAGCAGCAGCAACAGCAGCAGCAGCAACCACCAACACAGCAGCAGCAGCAGCAGCAGCAGCAGCAGCAGCAGCAACAGCACCAACAACAACAGCACCAGGCTTCGCCTTCGTACCAGGAGTGGGCTTGGCCACCGGAACCCTGCGACTGAGCCTCGCGTGCTGGTTCACGCTGCCCGAGGACCGTTCAGCCACAATTGGCTCTATTACTGACCTTAACGTTGCGGTGACACGCCCTCGGCAACTCTCGATGATAAGTGACCGAGTGAGACGTGCGCCGGGGGCTTGAGACTGGACAAAGTGCGTGCGAGTGCGCGTGTGCGTGCGTGCGTGCGTGTGAGCGCGTGTGCAATGGCGCGAAGACGAGGCGAACGCGGAGCCGAGGCAGGCCATCCCACTCCATCCACACCCAGAGCCCGGAGACTTCTCGTCGTCGGGGCCCGAGGACAATGCGAACAGCGGACCCGAAGCATCGAGCTCGGGATTTTGTTTTTGACGTTAAGTTGGTGGGGAACGCGTGCGACGAGTGAGTGGCGCCTTCTGGCAAGCAATTTATTACGTATGCGCGACGGATAAATTACCGCGCCAATTTTTAAACTGGCCGAGCTCCTTTTATCCACCGATCGACTTTTAGAAAATTATTTTTCTTTCATCGTCGACATCATCGTGCGCGGCTGACCCGTTTAAGTTCGTTAGTAGCTTCTTGTCTCCTTGTCGCGAAGGGTCGCGAGGGTGGGCGGATGGCGAGGAGCGAGGGGGCAGGGGGAAGTGGCTACTACCATTAACGCTATCTTGACTTCTTTTATTTATTTTATTTTTTTTTTTTACGGCAAATGGTGAAGGAACGAAGAAGCGAGAGAGGCGCTCCTCGACTCACTTCAAGCATTTTGTATTCGCGCTAAGTCGTCCGCGAAATACTATCTAAAGTCCCTCGCGCCTCTCATTCATTTTCATTTTGTCGCGGGAGCGAGGCGCACTTTTACACCAAGACATTTTCGCTCTTTAATTCCCGTTTACCCCGATCCACAAGACCCGGACCTCGCATCCCTCCTCGCTATCTCGGTTCGCTATGCTCCGTTATCTCATTTCTCCTCCCGGCCGCTTTGATCCTTTGCCTCGCATCCCCAAACGCGCCTCGTCGCATAAGCAATAAAAAATAAAGAAAGCGAGCGAGTGAGTGGGTGAGAGAGAGAGAGAGAGAGAGAGAGAGAGAGAAAGAGAGAAAGAGAGAAAGAGAGAGTAGTGGAGGCTCTCAAGCGAATCGCCGTTAGGCTTGACGAAGCTTCTTTCGAGCGGTTCGATGAAAATGTCGTCTGGGATGGCCATTGGGAAAAGTGAAGAGTGTCCGGTGAGGGGGGGGGTGTAGTCGAGGGAGAGGCGTCGTACCGTTTGTCTCGTTGATTTTCTTGTCACTGCAGCTCCTTCATAGTCGCGCAAACAAAAACATTTTCAGTAAGCAAAAGTGAATACAATTAATGTCGAGAGTATCGTTGCGTGTTGCCGCGTTGTTGGATATGTCAGGGTAATTCTATCATTATCGACGCGCCGTAATTATAATATTGATATGGAATTTGGCGGGGAACTTCATCGTATCGTGCGCTTCCGTCCTGTCGATCGATATCGCGCGAAAGTCCAGCCCAGCATTCACCTCAATCGAGCGTGTCGTTCACGGCTCGATGTTATTATCATGTAATCCACAAGAACCGATGTAAATTCCAAAAGAATATTTTTCAACGCTTACTCGTAAGCTTTGCCTCTACATGACGAATGAAATAGCTCGTCGCCGTTCTTCGTGCTCCTCTACCCATTCAATCGTATGGGTAACATAATACACGCTTACTTATACGCTTGGCCATGCATGCGTGTGCTCACTTACGTATTTATATACGTATTCATACGTATGTGATGGTAATATTGTGTAATTACCGGCATGGTGGACTTGCGCGAATCCGATGAAGTGCCGTCGTGAGAGTATCTGTACATGAGATTGAGTGGGGGTGATGAGAAACGATTGGTGGTAAGAGGGGTGAAGGGCTTGACGATGGCCGCGGTCGTTTTGTGTGACAATCTTTTTGAATCCTATGGGACAACGACTCGTGCAAAAATCTCGTAATAGCGACTGATACGTGAAGCTCGCGACCGAGCTTATTGTCCTGTCGTGTAATGGGGTGTGGACGCGGGAGGGAACGAAAAAGTGGTAAGGTAGGGGCGAGCGGGGGAGGGAAGTGGAGGGGAATAAATACAAGTCACTTGTGAAACCATAAGATTTCAAGTATCTGCAATAAATGTAAAATAAATGTATAATCTTAAAGGAAAGAAAAAAATGTAAAATCTTTAAAGTATATTTAAAAGAAAAAAAAAGGGCGTTCGTGGCCAATACCGCGCCTCCATGTCTGTCGGTAGGTGTTTTTTCAATAGTAATATATAAAAGAACCGAGATTTACGATGATTTAACCGATTGTTCAAGAATTTATTGGAAAGCCAGTTTTGCGCATTAAATTAAACGCTGTACGATGATGTTACCTACCGCTAAGCGACGGGCTGGAAAAAAAGTACCTTAGTTCGTTATCATCAAGTTGACACGATAAATTTAGTGAGACGTCTCGATAATCGAGCGATCGATAGACATCGATATATTTTACGATACTCGAAACAGCAACGATTTTTCCGGCGCCTCGCGGGCGCAAACAATCAAATTTCAATTACAAGCCCAAATAGCGAGATGATGAAACCGTTCAATGTAAACTGTATTATAAAACTGGTTGTTACTCGTTTCCTCGTTCCGTTAATAACGAAATTTTGTCCCAAACATTCTTCTGCATGCTTAAACGAATGAAGTATCCGAAGCGAAGGGCCGAGTGCGGGGAATGAAGAAACACGAAGTCGAGGAGCCAAGTGTCTTAGCGAAGTCTACGAAAATGCAAAATTGATCAACGAGCTCATCAGCGTCGAATCGTCGAGCCCACTTCCATCCCCACATACACGCACACGCACACGCGTACACGCGTACACACATACACACATTCGCATGGACGTGCGAAATTACACAAAGGTGCATACGCACACCGAACAACAGAAGTGGGAGCCAACACGTAAGCTCCGTCGTTCGCCTTGTAATGGCTCGTTGGACACTCGCAATGAGGTTAATAGAGCGAGCTAATCGATGATACTGTGGCGAAAAGAAAAATAAATAATTCGAGCGAATAATGAGATTGGATGGGGGTCGGGCGAAGGGGACGGGGGACGAATAGAACTCGAAGGATTTGTCTGGTAAATACGAGGACGAGTCTTGCGAGGAGCGAACACGCGCGCACACAGCTCCAACAGATGTTTCCCGGTAGCTAATAATATAGACTACGGCCAATAATTTAATCTAACGGATCCTTAATTCCGGGATAATGATCGCTTGCTTAAGTGGAGTATGCGCGCTATCATACACTACAAGGTGGGGCTTCGTAACTTGGCTGGCAAGTATCTTTGAGCGTGATTTTCAATGCGAGACGTAAATGTAAAGTCCGGCCCAGACTGGACCTCCGCGGTTCAAATAAACTTGGATAAAGTTTTCGGCTGTTGTTGAATGAAGATTTGGATAATGGATCGAGTAAGGCTGTCGTGCTACCTGTCGATAAAGTAGTTCGTTTGAACCCCGAGGACTTGGCGTGTGTAACCTCAAAATACTTTAATCGCTATAAGTTTACGGAACTGTTAGAAGCTTCAACATATATATATATATATATATGTATATATATATATATATATAAATGAGCTCGTGAGTCTCGGACAATGAAATAACGAACACGATTCAATTGCCATTTTTATCATTTTGTTCGATCGCAATAAATGGTGAAAATATCACTGGATAGCCAAACTTTCGTGCGTTTGCTGAGATTGTACGCATTTCTTCACCTCGCATTTCTTGATTCTCTAGCATCGACTTGAATTACGTGTGAGACAGTGTGAGAGAGAGAGAGAGAGAGAGCGCGAGAGAGTGTGTGCATGCGAGAGGGAGAGAGCGATGGCGCGCGAATGGTAGGACGTTGAAGTTACTTGCATCGAGCGATAATAGGAGACGTTCGATCATTGGTCAGCCGTGTTGCGAATCATTATCCCGCCGTAGGATATATCCGGCTGAGCAACGGAGTCGAATCAATTGTGGCCGTGGGCTCGACGATTATTCGTTCCCAAGGAAAAGCCACCGAGGCGTCAGGTCGATGTGTCCGCCGCGATGATGCGGAAGCGGATTTTGCTCGCGCGCGAGCGACGGGAGACCGACGCGTTAAGTCGGGCGGAAGGGCGTGTAATTTAAACCTGTATATAAAAATACATTTTGTATATTGTTAAAGATTTGTGTGATATAAATGGTTATTTAGAGTCGGCGGGTTAACGGGCTCGTCGCGGGAAAACGCATCGACCGGGAGCCAGCAAGCATCGAGAAGATCCGGCTCCTGGGCCGCCGAGCCGGAACACGCGAAGCCGGACTTCCGCCTGCCTCCGACTCTTCGCCCGCCCTCTCCCCTCCAAACCCCCGCTGGCCCGACTCGCTCACGTCTCTGCCCCCCCCCCTCCTGAGCACAACCCGGGGGACTCGAGGATGCCGCGGTTGTGAGGAGCCGAGGGGCGCGGCGGGGCGCGGCGGGCTTCTGCCGAAACTGGTTTTTTCGCGTCCGGCAGCGACGCGGGCCCCGAGGTCGACGACTGCCGCGCGCCACCACGTCCACGGGCGAAGCCGCCCGGTCGAAGGTGATCCTCTGCGTTTAGTTAATTTTGTTATTTGATTTATCTCGACATCTAGCGAGCTCTTGTAAAATAATTCAACACGATACACAACGCAAACACAAACACGT